CATTGCGCGGGGCTGCCCGCGGCGCTGCCTGAGTCAAGCGGCGTTGTCATGGCAACACATCCCCACCTCCGTCGTCGTCCCTCATGGCGCCGCGGCCCCGGTCCGGCCTGGAGAGGGGACAGGAGCCCTGGGGGTCTGTCCTCGTCCTGAGCTGGCACCGCTTCTCCTGCCGCAGGAAAGTGGCCCCTTTCCCCAGCGGTGCCTGTACACCCCCCCTCACCGCTGCCACCAGCCTCTCCCGACGGGAGAGGGAGTTCCACGCCCGATTTTTTCAGCAGAGGGTCCTAAATCCGCCATCAATTCCTCCTCAGGGCTGCCAACGCTTCCCCTCCGCAAACCTGCGGACAAAGAGCGTCGCTCCGCAGGCAGGACTGAGCACAAGGGATCAGCAGGGATTCTGTTTTGCAGCGCTGGGGATCGCTCCACAAGCGCCGCACTCACTCACAAAACTCTCTAATATACACAAAAAACATGCATTAGATTTCTTAGAAAAAGAAGTCTTATGCTAATGGCGGTTTAGAATTCATTTACATAGTCTGAGCATGCGTTGTAAAAATAGAGCGAGGGTCTTCTCCCCTCCTTAGGGGTCCCCACAGCCTTTCTCACACTGTCCCTCAGCGAACTTGAGGTTTCTCGTGTCCGTCTCTGGTCACCGAGTGACCTCACCGGTCCTTCAGCTCCTGTTTGTTCCGAGGAGGTTCGTTTAGACCAACCTTCAGCATTTCTCTTCGCACCGGCATCTTCTTAAACACTTGTTTCCTTTAGGTTCCTGCTCTTGGGGATGTACTCAGGGGGGTTTTCAGACTGTCCAAGGTCTGTCTTATCTTTACTAGGCAAGGAGTTAAAGGTTTTAAAACATCAAGCGGGTAATGACTGCAGAGGGTAGCTAGGAAAAAGTATAAATGAAATTATACACATTACAGGGAAAATAAAAAGCTAGTTAAACATAAGTGATACCTAACATTAAGGCTAAATCTCTTATTTTACAGGTCTCTGTACATCAGGAATTTCAAGAACGCCTGTAGCAGCTTTCCTTCACCTGCAGCAACAGCGTCCTGCAGCCACGCCAGCAGCCGTCGGCTTCCCTCACCCCCTACGCCGGCTGCCAGGAGCTGAGATTCCCGGAGCGGAGCCTGTTGCAAAAACCCAGCTCCTGTATTTTTTCTCACCAGGACACAGAACGACTATTTTACCAGCCCTTTGGGTGACTTGACTCAACACCACGTTGCATTCTGATGGTTCGAGTGTTTCCGTGCTTAGGTGCCAGCGGGCCGACGGGAGTTACTGACCCGCGCAGACTTTTGGGTTCCTTTCTGTGAGCTGTTTCCCCGCTGCCCACGCACCAGCTGGTGCACGAGGAAGTCAGGCGGGAGCTTTGTGGCGTGTGTTCCTGCAGGAAACCGGTGCCTTCGCCGCAGCCACCGCGTTACTGAGGGTACGGGGCGGGGGGGGCGGAAGCGAGGCTGGTGAACAGGCTCCGCACAGGTTTTGCTTCTTTAATGTCTGTTCAGCTCCATGGAGTCACGCACACACAGGAGGGGCTCGGCTTTCACTTTATTTTGAAAGTTTCCCAGATGCCGAAATAAAAATACTAATACCGAAGGCAAAAATAACTCAAAAGGCAATGAAAAACAGCTCAGCCTTTATCTTCAGGAAAGCCTTGGGGTTTTGCAGGCAGTTTGAGGGGGGTGGTGCGTCCGACTGTTTTACCCCAGTCAAGGCAGACAGGGAAAGAGCCAGTAATACTACCAATTTCCTGGTTAAAACAACAGCAATATTAACAACTCATCCTTTCAACGTATTTTGCTTCATCTACAGTTCAAGCACTGCGCAAAGGGATTTGCAGTCTGCTCTGGACACTGTGCTGCAACACCACGCCTGCTCCTTCCCTGCAGAAAGTCCTTTTGGCTGTGGGGAGCTGTGGGCCGCGGGGACAGCTACACCTCCAAAGGCTGCTGGGGGTGAGCTGCCACTGAGGGTGAGAGTCACCTTCTTCTCTTGGCACGGGTGTCATTTTAGAGTCAGAAGCAGAAAAGAAAGGGCAGTGAGCGTGGTTGTCCAGAGCTGCCTTAGGGACACCACTGTAAAGCACAAAGCTGTGTTCAACCGTCAGAACGAGTGATCTGCATCTCAGGCCACCAGAGCAAGTGAGGAGGTCTCTGCTGATGCCTTGCATCAACAAAAATCACTCCCTGATTAAAGCAGTGAGGTGGAGTTTTCTGCTCCGAGAGACCAGACTGCTCTGAGATAGCTTGTCCTGGCTTCAAGGACAGTTCCTGACCTGACCTTTGCCCACAGGATCTGACAAGCTCATCCCACACCTTGACACATCGCCAGGGACAAAATGCTTCCAAGTATTCACCCAGAACCTCCAGCGCTGTTGGTGGTCACTGCTTCCATCTTGGGCAAACTATTTGCTCTCCTGTTGCGTTGCTCTTTGTTCCAGCCCTCACCTGATCTCCCAGCCTGGGGCCTGCTCTGGGCACTGGGACTTACCTGCTTGACCTTCAGCCTCATCACCTCTGGGCACCCTTCTTCCAAGCCGCAGCCTTGCCCCCTCCCAAGCACACGTTTCTCTCTTGTCTGGCTCTGGTACAACTTTGTCTTCTTGGTCCTCTACTCTTCCTTGTCCTGATAGGGGTGGATGGTTCCCCCCGTCACCTCGAGGATGCCCACCATTCCCTGGCCTGGCAGCTCACACCTCAGATTTCTCAGTAACCAAAGTGTTTGGCTCTGGTTTATCTGGGACTGCCCTGGCTTTTAGCCAGCTCAAGGGAGAAGAGCAAACCGGCCCAGCACAGGCTCTGGCTACACGGCAACGCAACGCCCAAGGCTGAACTACCTCTTCTACGTGACAGCACGCAGGGAACAACCCCTGTGAGGAGGGGGTGATGGCAAAGAAGGTGAGCCGAGGCACATCGGTCCAGACAAGGAGACAGAACTGAAAGGACGGACTCGGTGTGGCTGGGGGAGGGCAGTGTGCTCCTCAGAGCTTGCTTGCTGCCGAGAGAAGGGCTGCCAGGGCTCAGAGAGATTTAACTAGCACGAGCTGGAGGCAGAGGGCTAACCCAGCCCTGGAAACCACAAGGGTGTGAAATAGTGTGAGCAGCAGGAGCAGGGAGGTGACAGTCCCCTGGCCACACCGGGAGGGTTGTGTCCAGGTTTGGGCACCTCAATCCCAGAGAGATCTCGGGGGCTGGAGCAAGGGCAGAGGAGGGCAACGAGGCTGGGGAGGGGCTGGAGAATCAATCCTGTGAGGAGCCAGGGAAGGGGCTGGGGGTGCTCAGGGTGAGGAGGAGGAGGCTGAGGGGAGCCCTCATCCCTCTCTGCAGCTCCTGACAGGACATTGCAGAGAGGCCGGGGCTGGGCTCTGCTCCCAGGGGATCAGGGACAGGACAAGAGGGAACGGCTGGAAACTGCCCCAGGGGAGGGTCAGGCTGGGCAGGAGAGAAAATGTTTCCCAGACAGAGTGGTCCGAGAGTGGAACAGGCTGCCCGGGGAGGGGGGAGTCCCCATCCCTGAGGGGGTTTCAGGGCCGTTGGGATGAGCTGTGGGGGGATGTGGGGTAGGGGAGAACTTTGTAGAGTCGGGCTGAGGGTTGGACTCGCTGATCCCGAGGGGGTTTTCCAGCCTGAATGACTCTGGGATTCTGTGAACTACCGCGAGAGCCCCTGCTCAGTTAATTTGGACCAATTTTCCTGCTTGGCCCTGTGTGGACAAGCCCCGAGCTGGAGCAGCGCAGCAGAAACCCAGGCAGCAAACCCGATAGCAGAGGGCTGCTTTCAGGCAGCGTCTCCTCTTTGGAACTGGGGTCACGGAGAGGGTCAGCAAGGGCTCCGTGCTCCTGGACGCGGCTGCCACAGCTCTGTTTCCCCCAAAAGGGAGTCGCTATCCTGCTGCACGAGTTGGTGGCAGAGGGCTGACCCAGCCCCGGAAACCACAAGGGTTGAAGCTTTGACGATTTGGGGAAATACCTGCTGATCAGAACAACAAACACGTTGGGGACCTGCCCGGGGACAGGCTGCACCCCAGCGCGATTCCGGAGGGTGGGACCCGTGCCCAGGGCACAGGAGCAGAGAGCGAGGGGACAGCGTCTGAAAACCTGTCTTGCCTTGTCTTGTCTTTTCTTTTTTTTAGTACAAGGTAAAACCTTTATTACAACTTTTCATCCATAGGTATACAACATCTGAAAGACAGATATGGGGAAAAAAAAGTAATATTGTTATAAAATGTCACATTTATTGCTACATTACTGTTATATACAGGACAGTTCTCAAAATCTACTTTAAAAAAGTTAGGATTATTTAAAAATTCCAAATAATCCAGCCAGCTGTTTTGACACTTGTATAAAATTATTTAAAAAAATGAAAACAATTCATATCTTGAGGCACTCAGAAACACAATTTTATCCCCCAATTGTGATTCCTTTCAAAGAACAACGCATTTTCCCCCCCCCAAATACTTTATTTTTTTTTTTTTTGCTGGGTTAGGCATATATATATATATATTTACTATATATATAGTTCAAAACTATAATGTGTATCTGATTTAAGAACAAGGATTTCAGCCACTTAAGTACATCTGGATTTACAGGTAGGCAGCATAAACATCAAAAGCAAGGACCATTTTTTAAAGGCCAAAAAAAACCCAAATCCAAAAACAACCCAAAAATTTCTACGGGGTTAAAAATAAAACAACTTCCGCAGGCATCTCCCATCTGCTCTCCCACCCCTCCCCGTCCTACAAAAATATATAGAAAGAGCAACCCAGTAATGCTTCGTTTCCCCAACGAGCTGGAACCCCCCCATAGAAATTTCCTGCAGACCGTGAGGCCCAAGCGTGTGGTTGGGGTCACACCTGCGCCGCTTCACCAGGTGCCTCTTTCTCCTCTCCCCTCTCCTGGCAAATGAACCACCGCTGGCAGGGGGGTGCCCGGCCCCCTGCAGCTCCTTCCCTCCCCGAGAGGTCCCACGTTCCAAGGTTTGCTCCAAAGCTGGTGGGTTTCAAGTGATTTGGGAAGACATAGCACCAGGAAAAGGGGGAACCGCCGTGTCCCCAGCTCGCTGCTGCGGGGAGCCCCACGGGCCCCCTGGGCACAGCCCAGGGATGAAGGGCACAGGGACACTCTGCGGCAAAAGGCCTCGGTCCCCGGGACACCCCGGTTTGAAGCACAAACCCCTCTGCTCTCCCGCACTGGCGCCCAGATGTATCGGGGCGCGAGTTTTATTCCCTCTCCCGCTGAGGTGGGCGCTCAGAACTGCAAGACCTGAGGAGGCGGAGGCGTACCCAAGCAGAGGAACAGAAATACCAGCACGGAGACACGGCAGGGCTGCCTCTCGCCCCCGAGGGTGGGCTACAAGGGGGACACGGGAGGCTTGGCAGGAAGGACACGCAGCCTGCGGCACCCTCCGGAGCGGAGCCCACCTCCACGCCCGGCTCCTGCGGGAGGGGGGAAATTGCCCTGCAGATCAAAACTCTGCGCACAGCAACCGAGTCCCTGCACTCCTGCCCCAAGGGCAGCGGGGCGGCGAGGGGCGGCCGTGCCCTGGGACCTCCGTTCTGCCCCGCTGCAAAGAAACCCCCAGCGGCTGCGTGTGAGGGGAAACAGCTCAGAGGTGCTGGCTGGAGAGACTGGGGAGCGCAGGAGGAGGAAAACACACCTTCAGGCTTGCAGCGGTTGGAGGAAGAGCAGCCAAGCCAGGCCTGAGGCTCGGGCACCAAGAGCTGCCCTTGGGGCCGGGCAGCAGCGAGGGGGGACACAGCGTCTCCGTTCAGGGGCGCTGGGGGAGGTGGCGCGAGATGAAGGATGCTCGCAGGGAGCTGCCGAGTATCGAGCAGAAGGCACAGGAGGGTGAAGGGTGCGTGGAAGAGCCCTAGGACCAGGCCTTGCCCCCTCCAATTCAGTGCTCAGCTCCTGCAGCATGAGTTGGAAGGGGTGTTCCTGCGGTCTCACCCCTCGTCTACCCCCCAGCTCCAGGGCACGGGTCCTGCAACGCTGTTCGAGCTGCTAGAAACGAAGCTGGACCCTGAGAGCAGCAGGGAGCGGGAGCTCAGCAGTCATGGACAAGAGCAGGGAGAAGGGCTGGGCCGGGATCTGGAGAGCCCTGGGTGAGGGGAGAGGGGGTTGCATAGGATTTAACAGGGCAAAGACCTTGTGCAAGCTTGTGGTACAGAAAGCAGGTCTTGCTATTGCTGGTGTCGAGCAGGAACGGGGGAATCCAGCGGCCACGGCTTGCTCCAGGTTAGCCAGCACTGCCCCTCGGGGGCTGGTGGCTTGTCCTGGCCCAACTCCAGTACTAGCTTTGCTTCGCCTCCCCATCCTCTGCTCCTCTCTCAAACCCCAGGCCAGGGGCTTGCGGAAACTGGAGCTGGTCCAGTCACCAGCATGGCTCACAGCAGGGCCTGCGCGAGGACCAGGGGCTCCACTGGCACTGAAGCTGGCAGCCTCCCCCTGGGAGCAAAGCTCAGGGCTGCAGGAGGGGAGGGGGGGTTCCAGAAGCCTCCTTCAGGGCTCCGCTGCTGGCCCAGGCGGAGGAGGCGCTGCCTTGCCCAGGGCCTGAAGGCTCTGCTGGCTTCAGCAGGTACACGCGTGAGACACAAAGGACCTTTGAGGGCGGCTTCTGCACTGAACCTGAAATTGCAGACTCCTGGGGAAATCCCAGCCTGATTCTGTCCTTCCTCTTCTCAACCGCTGCCGGACAGCGAGGGCAAAACCTCTAGGAAACGAGCTCGTCACCGAGACACGGGCAAGGGGCAAAAGCCGTGCACCGAAGTCGCAGCTAAGGAGGTTTCACATCACACTTCTGCATTTCTCTGCTGGAGAGGGCACAAACCCCAACGGCAAAAGCATCCAGAGCCCCGGCCCTGGCACAGTGATGCACCGTGGGCAGCAAACTGACCGCAGCGCGCGGGGGCTGGCGCGGACCTGCCCCCGACAGCCAGACGTGGCATCTTGGGGCGCCCAGCTAACTCGACTGCCCCGACTCCTGCAAACCATCAGCCCGGGCAGCGCTGCGCCCCTGCCTGCGGGCTGGAGCTCGGGGCAGACAGGAGGGGCACACGCTGGGATCCAGATGTCCCAGGTCCTGTCCCTCCTGCCAACACACCTCCGCAGGATACCAGCGCAAGCTGTAAAAGCAGGGGAGCAGAGAGCCCGAGGAGATGTTGGCAAAGAGCTGGAGCTGAACTCAAGCCAGGCAGTTGCTTGGCTGTGAGTGGGTCTGACTGGCGGGTCACAGGCAGGGGAGCGACTGCCAAACCAGGGGTTAGCTGGAATTTTGCTCCCCGGGGCGCACTGGCTGCAGGGCTGGGAGCTGGAGCAGGCAGACTGCCACCCCCTCCCGTGGATGCCGAGCGCCGTCCGTACGAGCCTATAAAGGTGCAGTCTCTGGGAGGCTGCAGCTGTTTTGCTCTGGGGCAAAAGCAGGTGAAGAGGGAGAAACAACAAAAAATCTGCAATTTTTACTGTTAATAAACTGGATTCCAGACACTCCCCAGCACCTGGCGGCACGCGCAGCTCGCAGGCAGGATGTGCAAGGAGGCAGGGGGCTGCTTGAGCGGGGGGAAAGAGGGGGTCCCTCGGGCCAGGGACCCCAGGACTGCAGCCCCACGGCTGGCCCTGCCACACAAGGGCTGTCCCACGGCAGCTGTGTGCCAGGGACCCCAGTTCTGCTGTTCGACCGTGACGCAGCTCAGCTGCTGCCGCCTGGGAAAAGAGAAACTCGAAAACGCACCCAGGGGAAAGCAGCCTCTCCCCTGATTCCCTGTGTGACTGAAGGAAGCTTTGTGGGGGCTCTGTGGCCCCCAAAGAGGGGCACGCAGCCCAGGAGAACACATGCACGCAAGGCTGAGAGAGGAAGCAGAAAACCGAAAGCCACCCTGCAGCACGTCACCTCTCTCTGCAGGACCACCGGCGCGAGGGACACGCAGACAGGCAGAGAAGCAACTCTGGGGGAGAGAAGCGATCTCTGAGATCCCACAGTTGGATGCCAGCGGAGCGTGGGCTGGGGAGGGCGCTGACATTCTCTTACCGTGACACCTAAAGACCAGAGTTTCATTGCAAGAGGCTGGTACTTCAGGGCTGGCCCGGTGGTATTTCGGGGACAGCACCTGACAGTGCTCATTTTTAGAAAAGCCACTTTCCCTGCAGGTTACAGGGACCGTGTTCACGCCAAGCCAAACACACCGGCAAGCCAAAGTAACTCTTCCTTGCTCCACTCCACAACTGCTCCCTGTGCCGCTGGAGAGCAGAGATGCCACCGCGGCCGCGCTGGGCTGGCACACACAGAGCACCCCGCGCCACGGGGGCAGCCCCCGGGCACTGCCAGCCCCCGACACTGCGCCTTCCCAAAGCCTGGCACCGGGGCTTTACACTCATCCAAGCCTTGCCAAGGATGTTCAGCTGGTTTTGCTGTCAGGAAAACAGGATCTAAACCACCTCAAGGCGGGTGTGAAGCCCCATCTCTGTTGCAGCGCCTGGTGGCTTGGGGACGATGGGAAAGGCTCCGTCTCCTCAGGAGTTCCCCCTGGCCTGCAAGAGTGTCAGCCAGGACTCGGAGGGGATGAATGAGTTCAGCAAAACTTTGAACAAATCATAAATCTCAAATTTCTAATTTTGATTTTTCTTGACTACAATCTCTTTTCTTTAAATCCAATTGTACGTGACTGCCACTGCAAATTCTTGTGGCAAAACCGAAGTGTTGGGGAAGCACTTTTTAAATTTTTTTGTATGGTTCCAAGTTTGCCATTGCTGGGACACTGCTCCATCCCCCCTCGGTCCTGGGGCAGTGACACTGAGCCAGCGGAAAACCCTGAGCAGCAAGTGCCCTGCCAGCCCCAGCCCCGTACGGCCGGCGGGGCAGACACGCTCCTGGGATGCAGCAGCCTCTTACACGCTGCAGAAAGCACCTGCTGAGTCCCCAGATTTCCACCCCAGAGCATGAATCGGGGTTGTCTGAGCATCCTGACCCTGCTGACAGGCTATGGAGGGGCACTGCCCCCTCCCTGCGTGTTTTACCATCCCCAAACTGAACTCGCTCCGGCGTCTGAAGCACAACCCAACCCAGCAGGAGGCTTTAGGAAGACTTGGCTTTTGCTGTGAGGGAGCTGCTCCGCGGGGGCACGGCTGTCACACACGGAGGAAAACCTCATCCGTCTCCCTCTGCCCAGAGCTTAAACAGGCCGAAGAACCCAAGGGAGGGAAGAGTGTCATAACCTGACAAGCTCATTAGGCTGAAACGTGTCTGTTGACAGAGGCGAGGAGAACGCGTGTTCCCGGGCGGCAGCGACCGCAGGCACTGACCTCTCCTGGCTTCCCGGGGACAGAGTTGGCGGCTGCTCGGGTCTCGCCACGCGGAAGCGATGGTGGGAGCGCTGCGCTGTGGGCAGGACAAACCAGCAGCGCACGAAAGCCTCAGAGCTGTGGCTGGACCTTGCGGAGTGCCAGGGCAGCGCCGGCGCCAGGGGCAGCAGGGAGAGACGTCCCGTGCGGCTCCAGCACTTGCGAGCGGCTCCTCTCTGAGACGCTGCAGGGGCTGAGCCCACGGTGCCCGGGTGCAGGTGGCAGAGGAGCAACAGGCCGAGGATTTCCAGGCGGCTTCGGCGGAGCACAAAGCACAGCTACGAGCACAGAGGAGCGCCACAAGGTGGGCCAAAGCCTGCGGCTGCTGGTTAGGCCACAGGACCCAATCCTGTTCGCCAGTCCTCCCCTTCCCCCGTGCCACAGGTTCCCCAGGAGCACAGGCCGGAGAAGCAGAGGGGAGAGACGGACCCTGATACTGGGGGTCCTACTGTGCTCGCTGTCCCCACGTGCCCCCCAGGCCAGCTCCCATTTATCCAGCCTGACTGGGCTCTGCCAGGCAGATCTGGGCAGCAGCCGGCCCCAGACCGAGTGTTACAGATGCTGCCGAGATGGGATTTAACATCCTCCTGGGGGGCTGAACATATCTGCCTGCAGAGCTGGGAAGAATCAGGCACAAAACATTTCAGAAAGGGGAAGGAGAGGGAAGAAACAAGAATAAATTCCCAGTGGATGCTTTTCCATTGCCAACTCCAGAACAGCTGCCGCAGCTCAGCACCACTGAGCACCTCTTTGTTTGCTCCTGCACCTCCGGGGCACCCCGGCATGCGGTGGGGCTGG